TAAAAATAAGTAAACTCTAGAAACAAATGGCACCCATGCTTAATGTAATTTAATTTAATTTAAATATATGGACAACATGCCTTGGCTAGTCTTTGTTAAAAATACACAGGCCTTTCTATTTATTCTTAATTTATATAAACCCCAAAAATGCTTTTATTATATAGATGCTTTTAACGCGTGGCCGCAGTGCTTTATAGCATAAATTGCAGAATTTTTTAGTCGGAACTTTTGGGAGCAGGTCCTTTTATTGGTTGGTGGCAATCAACTAATTAGCCAGTCTTTGCTATTCCAGCCAAAGGCACAATCATCAATAAGTCACACAATGACCAAGCAATAATGTTCTTTTTTACCTTTTCCAGTGCATAGCACTTATATATTCAATACACCTTAATACGTAGTACTTTATTTCTATATGTTAATAGAACGGTTTTCCCAGAGTTTAATAGTATTGGTTGATGGCGATCAACTGATTAACCAGTCTTGGCTGTTTAGCAACACAAACAATAAGTCACACAGTGACCAAAGCAATATGCTTTCTACTATTTACCTTTCACAGTGCATCATAGCACTTATTATTAAATATACTTTATATCATTATAGTTTATCTACACGTTCATAGAAAGTTCCTATATTCCAACAAATAGTCTCAAAAAAACGTGCAAGTTACCTTGACTTTTTGGCAAAAACAAGGATATATGATTTCGGGTGTGCTAGATTCTGGATGAGAACCTAGGGGCCTGATTCGCCGAATGTGGCAACTGCTGTCTATTTCTGTAAAGCACTTAGGTGTTTCTGTTTGCCCAAGAATGCATTTGCCAAGAGCCAGTTACAAGAGAGCAAATCCAAGGGGGGGTTTGTATTTGCGTTTTTGCCTTTGATTGGTCGCTGTAACCCAAAAATATACCTGCAGGCTAGCCCGGGCGTTTGAAGGCTTTAAGGCAAAGTACGGTGACAAATACCCACACATAGATAAGTCAGTGGTGCACGATCACACACGTTCGTGGTTGCTGTAATAGTGTGGTTTTATTAGCAACAATATATAAATATTATTTATTTATTAACCAAAAAAACATCACAGATACTTTGCGGCAATCACGTCAAACTCCTTATCCTTACGATCAAGCTCCACGACAAATTGGTGTTCTGGATTAGCCTTTCTCAGCAAACCCAAATAATGATCTTTAGTCTCCCAAGGCAAAGCCAAAATATTCGCACAAACTACCAAATTAGCCAACACATCCGCATCTCCCTGGTCCCTCTCCAATGCATCCTGCAACATAGCCATAGCCTCAGTAACCAAGCCAAGATGCATTTTGCATACAGCCAATGCACAAACGATTCTCGCGGTGGATACGGCAGCGGCCTGTGCGAGCTCTTCGAAGATATACAAGGCTTCAGTGTATTTCTGACCACCCACGTGCAGAGCAGTCCAGGCTTCGGCTAATTGCGCCAGGGGTGCGTCCTCAGCCCAGGCGCGAGTGCGTGCAACAGTTTTTTGCGCCAAATCCACGCGGTCAATGGACAAAAGGATGGCGGTGGTCATCAGGGAGCATTCGAGGTTCTTCGAGTGCATCGCCAGGATACTCAGCGCCTCATCATGCCGCTGCGCTAGTGCCAGCACCTGTGCAGCAATGGCCACAAAGGTGCCACTGAGCAAGTTCTCCGGAACACTAACGAGTTCGGTAATGGCGGCGGTGGCGGCGTCGCGTTGGTCACCTGCGGTGTATTTAAAGGCGGTGAGGTGGCGAAGTGCCTGTAGCGTGGCGGGCGTGCTGGGTGTCGTGGGTATTTCGTCGAGAACCTGCTGGTGTTTGCCTTGGCCGAGGTATGAGCGGTACTGGAGTGACTTTTTTTCAACATCGAATTCCCAGGCGGCGGTGTTGCTCCGGAGATGGGTGAGATTGCTTAGGGCTTGCGGGTAGGCGCCGAGGTAGAGCAGATTGCGCGCAGTGTAAAAGTCATCAACCACAGCTTCGCTCATTTTGGATGGAAAAAGGGAAGGTTGAATTTGGATTGGGAAAAGGATTGCGAATGTAAGAAAAAAAAGAGCGAAGAGAGAAGTTTAACTCTGTGGCGCGTTACAAAAATCCATTCTTTATTTTGTTTTTACGTGGCGTCAGTGTATATGCATGCGCTTGTAAATGTTGGTGCGCTGATTAAATCAGTGTTGATCTTGGTCAGACCGACCGACTAGGTGACGTCTTGTTTGGCAATATGGCAATATTGAAATAACTGCCATTCGAGTTGATATACGTTTATCACAAAATAATTGACGTTCTTACTGCCGTTGAACAAAAAAGGGTATTTAAACGTTTTTCCTCATGCAACAACAGACCAAAATGAAGTATTTTTCCTCCTTTTTTGCCATTTATTTCAGTATTATATTACATATAAAAAACCACGGATGCGCTCGTTAAATCCACTAATAATTGCCTGCCTCTTTTTTTTTGGCACAGGTGCTTTGGCACTGAACCTCACTGGCGAAACAGCGCTGCTTGATGCCGCGCCCACAACGACCAACCGGCGACACGCCACGGCCGTGACGTTCGGCGAACTAGGCGTCTTCGATTTCCGCGGCAACGGCCACGCCCGCGTCGCGCTCTCTCTCGGCGCCTTCTCCTCCGAAAAAAAGGACACCCCCGCGGACAAGCGCCTACGCTCTGCGCTTTCCACAGGAAGCACAGAAAACACAAGCAACTCAGCATTGGCCAGCCGCCAGGCAGCCCAGGGGCAGAGTCCGGTGCGCACCACAGAGTCGGTGGAGCTGGACCACGTGTATTTGATATTTGCCAAAGCACGTGCAGTGAATAACTTTGTCGCTCGACTGCATACTGCCCATAAAAGGGAGAATGGCCAGAGAGTGGTGGGGCAGAGGGGGGCGGATGACGAGACGGCGGCGCTGATGTTGTGCTCGGATGTCGGAAGCTGGCTGGAGAGCGAGTTTGTCGCGCCCATATCGGCGCTACGCCGGCCTGCAAAAAAGACAAATGAGGCAAGTGATGCAAATGAGGCAAAGGAGGCGGCGGCTGTGGAGGAAGAGGACAGGCCGAAGATCTCGTTCATTGCTGCGGCCACCGGACATCCGACGCTGGTGGCGGACGGGCTGCCGAGGGTAACCAAAGTCACGGGCATGCAGAGGCGTGGCGCGGCACCGACCCCGGAATCAACAAGCAATTCAGAATCAGCAACAACAGCAAGACCCCGGCCCAGCGCCGATGCGCCGCCGCTGCTGCTGGGCGCTGATTCCACAGCCAACGACGTTTTCCTGGTCGAGTACGAGTGGGAGTGGCTGGTGCAGCACGGCGGCGAGTACGCGGTGGTGATAGCCAACTGCGCAGCAACAACAATGCAGTTCAAGTACAATCTGATCATGGCCAACCGCGGGGTCGACGGGCAATGGACGAACCTGCCAGCGGGGTGGATTCCCGTCCAGCGCGTTCTCCCGGCAGTCAGCCATACGCTCTGGGGACTATCGCTTGCATTATGGGCTGTGGCCGCCGTGCACGCGCATGTGCGGCGGCGGGTGCGGCCGGTGTTAGCAGCGGTGGTGGGGTTTGTGCCGGTGCTGCGGCTGCTCAGCAGCCTGGCGGACCAGAGCCGGATGCGCGTGTGGGGCGCCGGCGCGTACGAGGTGACAATGGTGGCGGTGTCCACCAGTCTGGTGGACGCATTGGCTGACGGCACGCAGCTGCTGGCGCTTCTGGCGCTGTCGAAGGGCTGGGGCGTAGTGCGCGCAAGGCTGGCCGGCACGGAGAAGCGGCTGGTGCCTGGGCTGGTGGTTTTCGTTGGCGTCGCTACGCTGTATGACGGCGCAACAAGGGGCGGCGGCGTACTGGCCGTTGGTGTGCTGCAGATGGCTGCTGCGTGGTATGCATGTGCGAGCATGGCGCATACGCGGCGCGCACACGCGGTGCAGACTCTGAGGCTGGTCAGCCGCAATGAGACGGCGCTGGCGCGGTGGTGGGCGACGCAGGCCCAGGCGCAGCAGGGCAGCGGCAGCGGCAGCGCAGCCAGCAACCAGGCGCAGCAGCTGGGCTGGGCGCCAGCCGTGGCGCTGCAGCGGCTGGCGGCATGCAGCTGGGCGTGCGTAGCAGCGGAGTCAGCCTCGGCCGAGCGCAGTCGCTTAGCGCTGGTATGGAGCGCTGTGCGCAAGGAGCGGCTGCTTCGGCGGGTGCACCGGGTGGCGCTGCCGCTGCAGTGCGTAGATGTCGGTGTTTTGCTGGCAAGCAGCTTCGCTGTGCCGCCGCATCGCGCGTTTGTTGGGCTGCTGTTGGTGCAGGCGGCGCACTGGGCGGCCTTTATGGCGGTGTTTCTGGTGCTGGCGCTGGATGGGCTGGAGCTGCCTGATGTGCTGTTGCCGCCGCTGCCGGCGATTGCTGCGCGCAGGTCCATTCCGCTGCCCCCGACTCAGACGCGTGCAGCGGCTGCTGCGTCGCATCGCCCGATGCCGCCGCTGGGCCGCCTGCGCCTGCTCCGGAGCGCAACGCCGTTTGCCGCCACCGGCTAGCTGCTGATCAAAAGGACCATTGATTGTTAAAAGCTGATCGGCGGCCAAAGTGGGCTCTGGGCTTGGCTGAGCTTGGCCGAGTTTGGCTGGATCTTCCGATCCCTTTTTCGTTTTGCGCCAATCAGGTTGTTTATCTGGTGCTAATTAAATTTTCACGTGCCATCTCTAAAAAATAGCTCGCTTGTGTTCAGGATATCTATCCCCCTATCTGGGCTAAAAAACATTATTTCTTTTTTCCTCTGTGATACAAAAATTCACATTTCGAAATTTCACACTTTACCATTTTATTATTATGAATTTTGGCTTTTATGCTTCAGGGTTCTCACCAGGAAACACCACTGACGATCCTCCCGGTCATTCGGCAACACCAGGCGGCCGAGCCGCACACCCAGTTGCACACTTGTCTTCACTTCCTCAGCCATATCAATTCGCCACTCAGTCTATCACATCAGCCGGCCACTATGCAGACTCCCCCTTGCGAACAACAGAGCCTGGACAACCGAAAGACACCACGGGCGGCAGCAGCAGGGCCATCGGCATGGCGTGCAGGGCGTGTCGGCAGCGCAAAATCCGGTGCGGCGGTGAGCGGCCGCGGTGCATGTACTGTGTCAAAAAGGGCTATGAGTGTTTATTGACTCCGCACAAGAAACGCGGCAGACCGAGGAAGAACACCGATGATCAAGGCGGAAAGCTGTTGTCTGGTACCAGGGATGACATTGGCAGTGAAGAAACGCCTTATGTGGACGAGGATATGGATGAGGGGGAGGGGGCCAGTTTTAACGACAATGGTGCTCCAGTGGATTTGGGGAGGGGGTTTGCTGATGGGATGCTGGATTTGCGCCAGCTGTGGATGGAATTAACTGGCGGACATGCCTCGGAGCTGCCCCCGGAGCTGTCGGCTTTGGCGGCCAATTCTGCCACGCAGATGGATGAGTTGCTTGGGAGAATCCCCAGTATTGGGCCTAGCTTTAACCTTGGAGGCACAGTACCAGGACCAGGCACAGGCCAAGACAGCAGTGGTGGCAACTTGAATATACTGGCTGCGAACTACGCCTTCCCGCCATTTGATCCGACGACGCCTGTGGATCAGCTTTCCGCTGGGCTAACTGCCAGGACTGAGCGGTTGGCCAGCGGTTATGTTGCTGCGGATGCTGGGATTTCGCAGCAGCAGCTTCAGAATATGCATCAGATCCAAATGCCCTTTGCGATGCCGTCGGCGCAAAACCAAAATCAGAACCAGAACCAGAGCCAGAACCAGCATTTGGGGCAGAGCACAAGGCAGAATCAGAGGATGAGCCAGAGGCGAGGGGCAAGTGTGGGCTCGTCCACGCACCTGTCATTTGGCACCGAGAGCATAGCCGAGTCGGCCAAGGAGTCTGCTGTACTGGGGATCGGTGAATCCAAGCGAATTCCAGTCGGCAGTGCCTCGCAGAATCAAAATAATCACCAGAATCGACACAATCAGATACATGCGTCCGTGGTGGTTGCGCACACTATCGACGAGGGAATCCGGCAGTACTTTGCCTGTGTGCACCCATGGATGCCGATCCTCCACCGCCCGACTTTTGAAAAACAAGTGCTCTGCGGACAGGTCGATCCAATCCTGTACTACGCGGTGCAGGCCATTTCGGCGCGCTTCTGCCAGCATCAGAATCAAAACCAGAACCAGAATCAGCACAGCTCGCCGTTGCAATCGCCATCAACCTCAGCCTCAGTCTCACCCAGGCGGCCTTATAAGCGCGGCCACCGGTTTGCACGGGCCGCCCAGTCACTGCTTCCCGAGTCCTTAAAGTGCACCAAGCTGTCAACCCTGCAAGCAATTACCATCCTGGCTCTATACATGTCCGTGTCGGGCCACTGGCAGGAGGGAGCGGCGCACGAGAAGCTGGCTGTGCAGCTGGCGTTCACAGGGCAGTACCATCTTCTGGACGAGGAGTTTCTGATCCCGCCAGTGACCAACAACATGGGATTGTTCGAGAGTGGATGGTCGGAGCGGACCAATCCGTCGCGGCTCGAGGCGCTGAGCCGGCCAGGCGGCATTCTGGAGCACGAGCAGAGGCGGCGACTATGGTGGGCGATCTTCCACCTGGAGCGGTTCAACGGGCTGGCAATGGGACGACCAGCGATCATCAAGCCTGGGTGGCACTGGGTATGGCTGCCGTGCAGCGATGAGCTGTGGGCGTCGGACCAGCCCAGTGGCATGCTCTCGTGGGAGCTTGGACTGACTGCGGTGGAGCACCGCCCATCCCAGGCTGTGTCCAACTACCGCGTCGACCTTGTCTTGGCTCTTATTATGGGACAGCTGGTGGAGCAGCGCACGGAGATGTTCCGCCTGTTTTTCCCGCGCATTGACCGCGGCACCCTGTTCTATGATAACCTGCCGACCCATTCCTTGCAGTGGTCCCAGCGGCTGCGCAGCCTGGCTGAAGTTGTCCATGGCTTGGAGCGGCGTATCCGCCAGTGGCGGTTGGATCTCGACCAGTACGCGGATGCATTTTCGACCCGGCGTCATGCGAATTTCGAAATCATCGGCGCCTCCTGTCTTGTTCATTTGTACGCCTGCGTGTTGCAGATTAGAGAGCACCTTTTTGAGGACATGCTTGTGCATGAGGAGGCGCAGCAGGGCAGTGGCGGTGGCGGCGAGGCGATGGATGATTTGAATATGGCTGGTGTTGGTGTGTTTTCGCAAAGCTCGTCGGCGGAGTGTATGCCACCGATGCCGCCGCCACCCTTGTTTGAGGGACTCGAGGGTGTCAATAGTGGCTGTGCCAATAGCTGGCGATCGACGTATCAGCGTGGATACGTGGCCAGGGCAAAGAGACCTAAATTGACACTGCAGTTTGTCGGTGATCTGGATTCTCTGGCGCAGCGGTGCTGGGACAGATCGGTGGCTGCGGCCGATGAGACTGCAGGGCTCCTGCATGCGCATTGGCTGAAGCCCCTTGACCACCAGGCGGGAGTTGGTGTTTCTGAGAAGGCGGATATGCGAGACGATCATCTGGAGAGCTTTGTGTCTGGCAGCTTTACACATCCCAGAGCAGCGGATTCCAAGTGGACACTCGGTGCCAGCCAGCCCAAGCTCGCAGCGTACAGCAAGGGTCCACCAGCTGCCACTGCCACTGCTTCTGCCTCTGCTTCTGCCTCTGCTTCTGCCTCTGCTTCTGCCTCTGCTTCTGCCTCTGCTTCTGCCTCTACTTCTGCCTCTGCTTCTGCCTCTGCGGGCCCTGCGTACATGCAGGGCCTGGACGCGCGGATCGCAGACCGGTTCAAGCTGATGAGCCCGCAGACGCCCTACCACCTGTTCATCGCAGGCAAAGTGCAGGCAGCCAGGCTCAAGCAGGCCATCAGTTTCCAGGCATCGGCACCCGGGCACAGTTCAGCAGCAGCAGCAGCAGCAGCAGTGGTTGAGGATGAGGGGGAGAATGGCGGTGCGAAGTCGGAGGAGCGCGAGGCTGTGGTGGAAGCCATTCGCCGCGTCAACCAAATCTGGGACGCTCACGGTGCAGGCATAGATGCCCAGGCGGTGGAGGCTCGGCTGGATCTTATTGTGGTTGCGCTGGAGTATTGCCAGCTGTACTGGTACTCGCTGAACTTTGCTTCGCATTTGAAGTACTTGAAAAGAGAGGCGATGAAAGCTGGGGACTAAGTCTTTTTTTATTCTGTAGATCGCGCGATATTGTTTTTAGCTCAGCCCCCCTCCCCCCCCCGCTTTGAGCCTTAAGCCTGGGGTCGTTTTGTTTTGTTTTTGTTTTGTTTGCGCATCATCGTCATCGCCACTCGCTCATTTTTCTTTCTTTTAGATTTGTACTTTTAAAATTTCTTTATTTCATTTCCACACCTGAATTTATTTCTTAAAGTCCATTCTTACGCTTGCACAGAGCTACATTCAACCCAATTCAATGACGCTCATTCTGGTTCTCGGAGACATTCACATTCCGCAGCGCGCCGCTGACATTCCGGCGAAATTCCGCAAACTCCTTGTGCCAGGCAAAATTGACCAAATCCTCTGCACCGGCAATCTCTGCGACCGCGCCACCTACGAGTACCTCCGCAGCATAACACCAGACTTGCATATAGTTCGCGGGGAATTCGACGACAAGACGCAATACCCTTTGTCAATTAAAGTAGCCCAGGATGAATTGACCCTAGGCCTAGTGAACGGTCATTATATGGTGCCGTCTAACGGTGACGTGGATACCTTGGCGGCTACCGCGCGGCAGATGGATGTTGATGTGCTTGTGACTGGGAATACCCATAGGTTTGAGGCGTATGAGGAGCAGGGGAGGTTTTTCATTAACCCGGGAAGTGTCACTGGGAGCTTTAGTCCGTTGGAGGTTGCACCGGTTCCGTCGTTTGTCCTGATGGAGGTCAAGATGAGGATGGTTGTGGTTTATGTTTACCAGCTGGTTAATGATGAGGTTGTCGTTGACCGCATCGAATATGTGAAGAATGACGACTAAATAAAAAAATAGAATAAAAACTTTATTTGAAAAGTAATAATAATGTAGCAAGAGGCGTTTTAGCCGTTGGCTTATAAAATAAGAAAAGCAAGACGAACCAAAACAGTGTTTGGTTTTATTTTTTTGTATATTTTCAGTATTTGGGAATACACGAGAAGAATGATGGCATCGAGCAACCATTACCATCACTGTCATCGCTATCGTCGTTGCTGCCACTAATGCCTCTAATAGATTCTTTGTTCACCCCATATTCGCTGTCGTCGTCGCCATCGTAACCGCGGTCATGTTCATTGTAAGTGTCAGTGTCAATGCAAGTGTAAACGCTACCGGTATCACCATCGTATCCGCTTTCGCCACCTTTGTTTTCTATAACTGCTTCATTCTCGTTATATTTGTTTTCTGTTTGCTTGGTACTGCTTGAGTCTGGTGCCGTGCTATATGCTGCCATGATTTTGGAATGGTTAATGAATGAATAGAAGTGTACAAGTAGCAAAAAAAAGCCAAAAAAATTGTTAGCAAAAGAGAGTGAAGAAAATATTATTTTCTAAAACTTGTGGACCTAAATAGCCAGTCTTGAATAAACAAAACGTTGGTTGGGGGTTTTAAACAAACAATTCGTATAATTAGCTTAAGCCAGAAAGTATATAGAAAAATGCGAGTATAAAAAACAAAGGCCTAAAAAAATATTTTTCATAGACTGTGAAACTAAGTCAGCACATGTGCGTGATCAGCAAAAGCAATGACTTCCACACTAAAAAAGCAAGCTTTAAAAAGAATAGGTTCAAAACATGAATAAAGTGAGCTTTTACATGTTAATTATTTTGCACTAATAAAAATTAGAGCTCCACGTGCGAATTTGTCAATTGTGACGTTATGTTTTGTATTAATATTCAAAAGTAAATGCACCCCCACCCCTTCAATTGAATATTTACAACTACAGTATTGGTGCACAAGCACTATTATTTTTTAGTTCTTATTTCATATATAAACCCCCCATTTCTCTCTACAAATGTATTGTCTAAAGCGCGTTTTAATTACACTTCACCTTTATCTACAATAGTATTATACTTAATTCTGCCATCTACCTATTCAGCCAACATTAGCGCATACAACCATGTCCAAGCGTTCTTCCATCGACAGTAAATTAACCACTTGCTACATTGACAGCCTACCTCCTCTAGAGAGGCAAAATCAAGCGAGATCGTCT